GAAAAAAAATATTGTCTTTTTTTAAATAACTTCTTTATTTCTTAATGTATCTACTTCAAACATGTTTCTTATTATCATTCAACATTTGTGAGGTCACTTTCTTATTTCTTCATGGATTCTTCAAATTAAAAATAAATGTTCATTATCAACACCTACATTATATTTCTGTTTGTTACTTACTATACATTATAGTTAATGCTATATTTGAAAATTGTTATTTTTTCTTACTTATCGTCTTTGTGACTATAAATGGTATCTTTAAACTTAAAGTAAAACTCACATCAATGTTCATAAAACTAGCTTCGTTATTTCAAGAGTTATCTCCTCTTTAAGAATTTTGCATTAAAATATGTTATATTTTGGTAACAGGGATGTTTACAAAAATAACTTAAGAGTCTCCTTCAGTCTGTCTGTCTGTCTGTTCATAAAAACTGTGCCCTGAGATTACTTTTAAAGATTTTTTGCAACAAATTTACTTAAAATAGAGAAAAGTTGAAACATTAGTTATACTTATTCATCCTGAGAAAATTGGACCTTTTGATTATCTGTTGTATAAACATAATTTCCTTACTAGGCAGGGAAACTTAACACATTACTATGATATAGACAAACTTAGAACTCAAAAGATTTAAGTTCATTTATGTCATTCATTCACTGGTAAAATTGAATGGCCAATGGCCCATCAGAATGTTGCTGGGGTTCTAACCGGTAGGGGACTTATGGATTGCTTGCAATACTATGATAATTGCTTGTTAGTCCCCTACCGGTTTACCGGAGGGGACTTTAGGTTTACCCTCCGTCCGTCTGTCCGTCCGTCTGTCCGTCCGTCTGTCTGTCAGTCCGTCAGTCCGTCCGTCCACAAAACTGGATCCCGCGATAACTTGAAAAGTACTGAAAATATTTTTATGAAACTTGGTATATGGATAGATGGCAGTATGGAGATTATGCACGTCTTTTTCTTTTCTTCCTATGTTGAAAATTCTGGTTGCTATGGCAACAAATAGGCTAAAATATGGCAAATTTTACACATAAAGTGGATCCAGTGATAACGCAAAAAGTACTGGAAATATTTTTATGAAACTTGACATATGGGTAGATGGCAGTATGGAGATTATGCACGTCTTTTTCTTTTCTTCCTATGTTGAAAATTCTGGTTGCTATGGCAACAAATAGGCTAAAATATGGCAAATTTTACACATAAAGTGGATCCAGTGATAACGCAAAAAGTACTGGAAATATTTTTATGAAACTTGACATATGGGTAGATGGCAGTCTTGGAATTATGCACGTCTTTTTCTTTTCTTCCTATGTTGAAAATTCTGGTTGCTATGGCAACAAATAGGCTGAAAATATGGCAAATTTTACACATAAACTGGATCCAGTGATAAAGCAAAAAGTACTGGAAATATTTTTATGAAACTTGACATATGGGTAAATGGCAGTCTTGGAATTATGCACGTCTTTTTCTTTTCTTCCTATGTTGAAAATTCTGGTTGCTATGACAACAAATAGGCTGAAAATATGGCAAATTTTACACATAAACTGGATCCAGTGATAAAGCAAAAAGTACTGGAAATATTTTTATGAAACTTGACATATGGGTAGATGGCAGTCTTTAGATTATGCACGTCTTTTTCTTTTCTTCTTATGTTGAAAATTCTGGTTGCTATGGCAACACATAGACTGAAAATATGGCAAATTTTACACATAAACTGAATCCAGTGAGAACTCAAAAAGTACTGGAAATATTTTTATGAAACTTGACATATGGGTAGATAGCAGTGTTGAGATTATGCATGTCTTATCTGTTCTTCCTATTTTGAAAAAATATCAGTTGCCTTGGCAACAAATAGGCTTAAAACATGGCAAATATAACAATATTTGTGATTAGTCAAAAAGAGCTGAAAATTTTTATGAAATTGCATCTTTAATTCAAGTGTTATCTCCTCTTTAAAAATTCTGCTTTTAAAATGTTATATTTTGGTAACAGGGATGTTTCAAATAATAACTTTAGAGTGTCCTTCAGTCCGTCTGTCTGTCTGTTCATAAAAACTGTTTCCTGTGATCACTTTTAAAGAACTTTTCCAACAAGTTTACTTGAAATAGAGAAAAATTGAAACATAAGTGAATGGCCAATGGCCCTTCAGAATGTTGATGGGGTTCTAACCGGTAGGGGACTTATGGATTGCTTGCAATACTATGATAATTGCTTGTTGAAAAAGGTTTGTCTGGAGCAAAACTTCTACATGCATTGAGGGATTTCAATATAACTTGTCACAAATGTTCACCATTGTGAGGCAGAGTGTGGCAAGCAAATTTTACTCCCTGTGGCCAAGGTCAAGGTCACACATAGGTGTCAAAGTACAGATAAAAATATGAAAATGTGTATTAGGACCATTGAGTCATCACTTATGGAAGGATTGAACCACAAATAGTCATCATCAAGACTATGGGTGTGAAACATGTAATTTAGGATAACATATGCAAGGTCAAGGTCACTAAACATGAAAAAATGTAGAGATTTTTTCTAGAGCATGTCACTTACACCCATGAAGGGATTCTAATGAAACTTAATATAAATGTTCACCACAATAAGAAGAAGTCATGCACATGAACCAGGTCTCTATGTCAAAGGTCAAGGTCACACTTAGAGATCATTGAAAAACATTTGTCCAGACCAAAACTTCTACATGCATTGAGGGATTTCAATGTAACTTGAAACAAATGTTTACCAATGTGAGGCGGAGTGTCGCTTTTGTGACAGGCATATTTTGTTGCAATGTTGCCCTTGTGTTCAGAGAATAACTCTAAAATTACGCAAACAATTTCTTCAAACTTCATACACTGATAATTATACCCCCGCACAATGAAGTTGTAAGGGGGGTATACTGGAATCGGCTTGTCCGTCCGGCCGTCCGGCGTTTTTTCCTTGTCCGCCCAATAACTTAAGATTCCTTTGACCCACAGTCTTCATATTTGGTATTTAGATTGGTCATGGTTAGTAGATGATCCCTATTGATTTTGAGGTCACTGGGTCAAAGGTCAAGGTCACAGGGGCCTTGACTTCTAAAAGCTTGTCCGCCCAATAACTTAAGATTCCTTTGACCCACAGTCTTCATATTTGGTATTTAGATTGATCATGGTTAGTAGATGATCCCTATTGATTTTGAGGTCACTGGGTCAAAGGTCAAGGTCACAGGGGCCTTGACTTCTAAAAGCTTGTCCGCCCAATAACTTAAGATTCCTTTGACCCACAGTCTTCATATTTGGTATTTAGATTGATCATGGTTAGTAGATGATCCCTATTGATTTTGAGGTCACTGGGTCAAAGGTCAAGGTCACAGGGGCCTTGACTAAAAAAAGCTTGTCCGCTCAATTGCTTAAGAATGCTTTGGTCAACAGTCTTCATATTTAGTATTGAGGTTATTTATGACTAGTAGATGACCCCTTTTGATTTTAAGGTGACTATGTCAAAAGTCAAGGTCACAGGAATTTTAATATAATAAGCTTGTCTGCAATGCCTGTCCGCAGTGTATTGATTTTCACATTTTAAGCATGTAGAATACATAACTTAGCAATGCACTGGCATGTAGAATACATAACTTAGCAATGCACTGGCACAGATTTGGCAGGGAGGTTGTCCTTGAGCTTTAAATGGCCACTGTTGATTCTGACAAAGTGGTATGCGGGGGTATTCACGCCATGGCAGTGGCAGTTCTAGTTAACTCTGGTAGAAAGTGCAGTGTGCAAGAAAAATAACTCTCTCTTGCCTACTTTTAAAGTTTTTCGCCTATACAAGAATTACTTGAAAATCTTTGTGCCAAGCATAACTCCAAAACTCTAAAAGTACTTGAGCAATTTTTTAATCCCCTGCGTAGCGGAAAGGGGATTATAGGAATGGCGTCCATCTGTCCATCCGTAACACTTGTGTCTGCTCCATAACTTTTAAACCGCTGAAAAGTATGTAGAAGTGTTTAGTGAATGATTCTGGTGAAAGTTTGCAGACTTATATAATTTTTGAAGCTGGTGGGTTAAATAAAAACATTATAGCTTTATACATGTATAATAAATTCTGTCAGAGAGCTCCCTTTGAGGCTTTCCCTTATTCACAAGTATTCAGAATCATAATTAGAGGTCACTGTCCAAGGCCAGTAATTCTAGCATCAATTTTGACATAATTATGGTCCTTTTGAACTTACATAATTCTTAGTTAAAGTTTGAACATCAATTCTCAAAACTACTGAAGGTATTCACTTGAAACTTAATACAAGTATTCAGGGTCATAATTGGAGATTACTCTCCAAGGCCCATAATTCTAGCATGGATTTTAACAGAATTATGGCACTTTTTGAACTTCTGAAATTAAAGTGGCATGCAATATCAATCTTCAAAACTACAGAAGGTATTCACTTGAAATTTAATACATTACTACCAAATAATAACTAGAGGTCACTATCCTAGGCCTATATTTCTGACATAAATTTTGGCTGAATTATGGCCCTATTTAGCTCGACTATTCGATAAGACTTAAAGTTTACGTTTAAGTTTGTGTACCACCTCAATTGATTTTCAAAGTCCATTGACATAATTTTATGGCTTTGAAACTCTGTACACTTGTTCACCATCATGTCCCCAACCTGTAGTCAGGAGAAATGTTTGTACTAAGCAAATAAACTAGTTGTGTATTGTCTGTCCTTGGTAGAAAATTTATCAGTCTGTTTTTAAACAAGCTTTTTCTGTAGGTTACAAGAAAATGAACAAAGTATGATTATTTGTCTCTCACCACTGATTCAGTAGTCATTTTGGATTAGTATAGTTATGGTCACTTGCTGAGAAATTGGTATTTACTGGTAAGTTATTTGTACAAGGTTGACTGTCCATGCAAATATGATCAAACCAGACAAACAAACAATTAAATTATTTGATGGCTTTTATTTTAAGTCTATATGTGTCTCTAATATCTACTTGAATAAACATACTTGTTAATTCTATATAATGTTACATTTCATGATAATTTTTTCAGAAAACAGTATGGTCCAACAGTAGATATCTGGTCTTTAGGAATAATGTGCATAGAAATGATCGAGGGAGAGCCACCATATTTAAATGAAAACCCAATTAGGGTAAGATTTCATTTTCATACGCCCAAAAAAATTTGGCATATAATGTAATGCACTTGATCATCTGTCTGTCTGTTGTCGTGTCTGTATCTTTTGAACAGGTGAAAGGAAATTGAAATATTGACCATGTGATGATGTGCAGAGCACAGATTTGACCTTCCTGAGGTCAAGGTCACAGTCATTATGTATGAATTTTAAAATACTGTCCACTCTGTATTCTATGAAGAGATAGAAAGAAATTAAACGTTTTGGCAGAAATATTACTAATAATGATAATAATCATACTTTATTTTTGTCTGGGCCATTTCTCCTAAAGTATGAAAGCTATGGACTTGAAACTTCATAAGATGATAGATCTCATTAAGAAGAAGTGCACTGCACAAGAACCTATACTCTGCACTTCTTTTTAGCTCACCTGTCACTTTGTGACAGTGTGAGCTTTTGTGATCGCTTTTCGTCCGGCGTCCGTAAACTTTTACTTTAAATGACATCTTCTCATAAACCACTAAGCCAATTTCATCCAAACTTCACAGGAATGTTCCTTTGGTGGTCACCTTTGAAAATTGTTCAAAGAATTTAATTCCATGCAGAACTCTGGTTGCCATGGCAACCAAAAGAAAAAACTTTAAATATCTTTTTCTAAAAAAACCAAAAAGCTAGAGCTTAGATATTTGGCATGAAACATCTTCTAGTAAGTGTCTACCAAGTTTATTCAAATAAAAGCCCTAGGGTCAAAATTGGCCCCGCCCCAGGGGGTCATTGATTTTCTCTATATGCATATAGTAAAAACTTAAAAAATCTTCTTTTAAAGAACCCAAAAAGCTAGAGCTAAGATATTTAGCATGAAACATCCTCTAGTGGGTGTCTACCAAGTTTGTTCAAATAAGAGCCCTGGGGTCAAAATTGGCCCCGCCCCGGGAGTCATTGATTTTCCTTATATGTGTATAGCAAAAACTTAAAAAATTTTCTTTGAAAAAAAACCAAATAGCTAGAGTTTAGATACTAAGCATGAAACATCTTCTAGTGAGTGTCTACCAAGTTTGTTCTTATAAAAGCCCTGGGGTCAAAATTGGCCCCGCCTCGGGGGTCATTTATTTTCCTTATATGTGTATAACAAAAACTTAAAAAATCTTCTTTGAAAAAACTCAAATAGCTAGAGTTTAGATATTAAGCATGAAGCATCTTCTAGTGATTGTCTACAAAGTTTGTTCAAATAAAAGCTCTGGGGTCAAAATTGGCCCCGCCCCGGGGGTCATTGATTTTCCTTATATGTGTATTGCAAAAACTTAAAAATCTTCTTTGAAAAAACCGGAATAGCTAGAGTTTAGATATTAAGCATGAAACATTTTCTAGTATGTGTCTACAAAGATTGTTCAAATAAAAGCCCTTGGGTCAAAACTGGCCCTGCCCCAGGTGTGTCATTGTTTTTAACTATATGTGTAAAGAAAAAACTTGACCAGCTAGACCTTAGATGTTTAGCATGAAACATCTTCTAATGGGTGTCTACCAAGTTTGTTCAAATAAAAGCCCTGGGATTTAAACTGGCCCCGCTCCGGGGGCCTATATACAGGTGAGCGACTTCAGGGCCATCATGGCCCTCTTGTTTAGCTCACCTTGCACATAGTGCAGGTGAGCTTTTAGGATGGCCAATCATTTGCGTCTGGCGTCCGTCCACATTTTATTCAAACGACATCTTCTATAATACCACTTGGCCAATATTAATGAAACTTAGCAGGAATACTCTTTATGCCCCCACAATGTGGGAGCATATAGCGTTGCACTTGTCCGTCCGTCCGTCCGTCAGTCCGTCCGTCAGTCAGTCCGTCCGTCAGTCCGTACGTCCCGAAATCTTGTGAACGCAACTCCTCTTAAACCGGATGGCAGATTTTGCTTAAACTTACAGGGATGAACAACCTTAATGTGTAGATGGTAGTAAAGGAAGGAATTTTCGCTGCGACCAAATTTAACAGAATTATGGCCCTTTGTTGATTTTTTCACTATATACTATGTAGAAATTTTGTGAACGCAACTCCTCTTAAACCGGATGGCAGATTTTGCTTAAACTTACAGAGATGAACAACCTTATCGTGTAGATGGTAGTAAAGGAAGGAATTTTTGCTGCGACCAAATTTAACAGAATTATGGCCCTTTGTTGATTTTTTTCACTATATACTATGTAGAAATTTTGTGAATGCAACTCCTCTTAAACCGGATGGCAGATTTTGCTTAAACTTACAGGGATGAACAACCTTAATGTGTAGATGGTATTAAAGGAAGGAATTTTTGCTGCGACCAAATTTAACAGAATTATGGCCCTTTGTTGATTTTTTCATTATATACTATGTAGAAATTTTGTGAACGCAACTCCTCTTAAACCGGATGGCAGATTTTGATTAAACTTACAGGGATGAATAACCTTAAGGTGTAGATGGTAGTTAAGGAAGGAATTTTTGCTGCGACCAAATTTTACACAATTATGGCTCTTTTGTTGATTTTTTCACTATATACTATGTAGAAATTTTGTGAATGCAACTCCTCTTAAAACCGGATGGCAGATTTTGCTTAAACTTCCAGGGATGAACAACCTTAATGTGTAGATGGCAGTAAAGGAAGGAATTTTTGCAGCAACCAAATTTAACAGAATTATGGCCCTTTGTTGATTTTTTCATTATATACTATGTAGAAATTTTGTGAACGAAACTCCTCTTAAACCGGATGGCAGATTTTACTTTAACTTCCAGGGATTAACAACCTTAATGTGTAGATGGTAGTAAAGGAAGGAATTTTTGATGCGACCAAATTTTACAGAATTATGGCCCTTTGTTGATTTTTAGTTTTCAACTTGTGGCACATGTAGTCCAAAAAATATTTGACCTAGAGTCATAAGATTGACAGAACAGTGGCGTGTGGGGGCATCCGTGTCCTATGGACACATTTCTAGTTGTATGAAGCTCTATCAAGATTGTTCAAAGAATGCCATTCCATGCTAAACTCTGGTTGCTATGGCAACTAAAAGAAAAGCTTAAAAGTTCTTTTACTTCAAAATGGAAAGGGCTAGAGCTTAGATATTTCTCACAAGGCATTAGCTTGTTTCTACAAAGTATATTCAAATTATGGTCTAGAGTTGAAAATTGGTCTCTGTTTTGGGGGTTAAAGGTTTTTTTTATTACAAGGTTATATAAACTTTCTTTGTAGGGATAATTTGAGACAGTGTATCTTGTATTTTTTGTCTCAACAGACATTGTTATGAAGATTTTTCTGTTAAAGCATTAGAAAGATGAAAATGTTGTTGAATGTGAATGTTAATTCAAAACAGAGTCAATCAGAATTGCACAAATTTGAGAGCTTCAGTAAAGTTGATTTCCCCATTTAATAATGGATTCTTCCATTAATTTGGTAACACCATCAGAAAGGAGACTGTGTCATTTCCGAAAAACAATGTAAAATATTTCGGTTCTTGACAATAACTTGCACATTTTATTGTGTAAGATATTTCACAAAGAAACGAAAGTGAACAAAAAAATGTTACATTTTTTTCACAAAAATTAGCTGATTTAATTTACAGTACAGATATTATTTTTACATCCTTCCGGTTTGCGGGAAAAGTCATATATTTCAAGAAACCTTTTCAAGATGAATTTTTAGCTCACCTGTCACAAAGTGACAGGGTGAGCTTTTGTGATCGCTTTTCGTCCGGCGTCCGTCCGGCGTCCGTAAACTTTTACTTTAAATGACATCTCCTCATAAACCACTAATCCAATTTCATCCAAACTTCACAGGAATGTTTCTTTTGTGGTCACCTTTGAAAATTGTTCAAAGAATTTAATTCCATGCAGAACTCTGGTTGCCATGGCAACCAAAAGAAAAAACTTTTAATATCTTCTTCTATAAAACCCAAAGAGCTAGAGCTTAGATATTTGGCATGAAACATCTTCTAGTGAGTGTCTACCAAGTTTGTTCAAATAAAAGCCCTGGGGTCAAAATTGGCCCCGCCCCGGGGGTCATTGATTTTCCCTATATGCATATAGTAAAAAAATAAAAAATCTTCTTTTAAAGAACCCAAAGAGCTAGAGCTAAGATATTTAGCATGAAACATCTTCTAATGGGTGTCTACCAAGTTTTTTCAAATAAAAGCCTTGGGGTCAAAATTGGCCCCGCCCCAGGGGGTCATTGATTTTCCCTATATGCATATAGTAAAAACTTAAAAAATCTTCTTTTAAAGAACCCAAAGAGCTAGAGCTAAGATATTTAGCATGAAACATATTCTAATGGATGTCTACAAAGTTTGTTCAAATAAGAGCCCTGGGGTCAAAATTGGCCCCGCCCCGGGGGTCATTGATTTTCCTTATATGTGTATAACAAAAACTTAAAAAATCTTTTTTGAAAAAACCAAATAGCTAGAGTTTAGATATTAAGCACGAAGCATCTTCTAGTGAGTGTTTACAAAGTTTGTTCAAATAAAAGCCCTGGGGTCAAAACTGGCCCTGCCCCAGGTGTGTCATTGTTTTTTACTATATGTGTAAAGAAAAAACTTGACCAGCTAGACCTTAGTTGTTTAGCATGAAACATCTTCTAATGGGTGTCTACCAAGTTTGTTCAAATAAAAGCCCTGGGGTTTAAACTGGCCCCACTTCTGGGGCCTATATACAGGTGAGCGACTTCAGGGCCATCATGGCCCTCTTGTTTCAATGAATGAAACTTTTATTGAAATTTATGAAAGATTTCGATGAGACAAAATTTTGTACATCTATTCTACAGTAAGGACAGAGGCAAAGTGATGTTTTGGGATACAAACATTGCCTATGCAAATGAGTAACAAAATATTTTGGTATGCAATTTAGGTCACATATGTGGTTCGAGTTTTCAATGGTTACAATATAAAATAAATATGTCATAATATTTCTTTCTTAGAACAAAGATACAATTCAAATCATTAAATAATGCATATCAATCAGTCCATTCAACAACTTTGCCTCACAAAACATCTGTATCAATTTGACCTCGAGTTGAGATTATAAATAGAACTAAACAGGAAGTATGACAAAATGGCAGCAATGCACAAGAAAATTGAGAAATCTTTTAAAACAAAGAAGTGAAGATGAATACAATTATCGGTGTGCTTCATTGAAACAGGTATTTTGTTAACTATTTGTGAAGTATTAAGGCATGACATTCACATACATGCCATATTTCCAGCCACCCAGATAGGGAGATTTGGCTTTAAACAGCAGGGGATTTGGACCAAAAGTAGGGGGATTTTTAAGCAAGCACAAACCAGTCGTTATCTACAAGCAAATCAAATCAAAATTTATTTTCAGTATAAATATAACATTTCACAAAACATACGCTGTGATTCTTTGAGTTTCTATTGCCTGATCATTATTTTTTTATCTGCATCATTCCCTACTTCTTATCAACTTCAAAGACCCAATGCCAACAACAAACTCAAGGCAGGCCCAACAAAAATTGATATGTCACGCATTCAGTATCAGACGCTGTCATTGGTTAAGCACCTGCAATACTGACACTGATTGACAGGTTTATCAAAGGAGAATTGTCATACATTGATTTGTTTATTCCTAGACAACTGAAGTGTGTCGGAGTAACCAACAATGCAATTATCCATTAGACTTAATGCAGGCATGTATAGTTGTAAAAGTTGTTTAAGTCTATCGTTAAATTATGTTTATTGGTAAAAATGATGCTTTAATTTTTTTGTTGGTTGAATTTTTAAAAATCGGGGGATTTATATCCCACCGTGGGAGATCAGAGACACTATCGAAAATCGGGGGTTTTTGTCTCCCGGCGGGGGATATGGCATGTATGCATTCAGTATTTATGTAAATATCACCTCCCGTGTTATGATTTGTAAAATTATACATGTACACATGTGATATATACCTCAATAAATGTAAGTGAAAATGGAACAATAATTATGGTAATTATCCATGGTGCTAGTAATACTTAATTATCTTTATCATATTGTTAACTAAGCAAGAAGCTTACGTAATTTAAAAATTACCTAACCTCACAATATTATCAATTTAAACTTGAAAATCTACTCAAAATGACTTCCCAAACAGTAATTTTTGAAACATGAAAATGATTCATGTAGAAAAATAACACAAGAAAAACTGATTTGACTCATGAAAATTTTGGCCAAACAGCCACGTGAAATTCTGACCTTCCTGAGATCCCTGCTGGTTGTTGTTTTTTTCATTTTTTTAACATTTTACAAGATTAAATTTTACAATTAAACCGGTGTATAGAGCCACTTATGTGAACAGAAAGAATTTTTTGTAGAAAGGCGTGTTCTAATATGATAAACCACAGATGCTTGGGGGTTAGATCTTGCCCCCAACATGATATCCGTGAGTAAACACTATCAAAAAATATTTTAATATTTAAACACTAATGGGATATCTGTTTCGACTATAATACTGGTTTTCAAAAAGAATTTACATACTGCGAATTCACTTATATTCGTGGACATGAAATTTCGTGGTTTTATCAAAACGGGCATTTTCTTGGGTTCTTAAATTCGTAGATTTTCAATTTCTTGTAAAAAAATAACATAAATAACCTAATGCAAAGTAATCTTACACTTAATCGTCGCGCATTTTACTTACCACATGTACATATCTTTAGGTATCACACAGCGCTTGTCAATAAATTTAATCCTTGCCTCTGGGCATTTATTGCACAAAAATAAGCGGAAAAGACATGGCAAGAAGTATTTGTTGGGATAAAATTTCTTCGGATCTTAAATTCATGGATTGACCTACCCTTGAAAAACACGAAAAGTCGTGCACCACGAATAATAATGATTTTACAGTATATGAAAAAATAAATACTGTTTACCATCAATGATCATGTATTGAGACTTGATTCCGGGCAGGCAGGTGAATTGGTTGGGCTATTTTTCGTAACAGTTTTCTCAGCAACTACTTATCAGAGCCTCATGATATTAAGTATACAGCATTAACACATTGTCCTATACCATGGGTTTCGATTTCAGGTCTGTCGCTCATCCACTTCATGTTTACTGACTTAGTTAAATTCATAATAATGGTCAATGGTAGAAATTTTTCGTAACAATTTTCTCAGCAACTACTTATCACAGCCTCTTGATATTTGGTATACAGCATTAACATGTAGTCATATACCATGGGATATGATTTCAGGTATGTGGCTCATCCACTTCCCGTTTGCTGACTTAGTTAAATTTTCGGCATTAATTGTAAATGGAAGGAAATTTCCGTAATAGTCTCAGCAACTACCGGTGATTTTTATACCCCCGCACAACGAAGTTGTAAGGGGGGTATACTGGAATCAGCTTGTCCGTCCGGACGTCTCCCCGTCCGTCCGTTGGTTTTTCCTTGTCCGCCCAATAACTTAAGATTCCTTTGGCCCACAGTCTTCATATTTGGCATGGAGGTTAGTAATGATTAGTAAATGACCCCTATTGATTTTGGGGTCACTGGGTCAAAGGTCAAGGTCACAGGGGCCTTGACTTTTAAAAGCTTGTCCACCCAATTACTTGAGATTCCTTTGGCCCACAGTCTTCATATTTGGCATGGAGATTAGTCATGATTAGTAGATGACCCCTATTGATTTTGAGGTCACTGGGTCAAAGGTCAAGGTCACAGGGGCCTTGACTAAAAAAAAGCTTGTCCGCCAATAACTTGAGATTCCTTTGACCCACAGTCTTCATATTTAGCATGGACGTTAATCATGATTAGTAAATGACCCCTATTGATTTTGAGGTCACCGGGTCAAAGTTCAAGGTCACAGGGGCCTTGACTTAAAAAAAGCTTGTCTGCCCAATAACTTGAGATTCCTTTGACCCACAGTCTTCATATTTTTCACATTTGAAGCATGTAGAATACATATCTTAGCAATGCACTGGCTTAGTAACCTCAGATTTGGCAGGGTGGTTGTCCTTGAGTTCTAAATGGCCACTGTTGATTCTGACAAAGTGGTATGTGGGGGTATTCATGCCATGACAGTGGCAGTTCTAGTTTTTCCAATTTTCAAAACAACCTGTGGCTTTCTGAAGGGGAAAATATAGCACGATAAATCAGAAAAGGGGGAAACCTGAAATCAAATTCCAACAACTGAAAATGGAATTTACCCACACATTTTATGGAAAAAAAATTTAATTCAGTTTAACATGCATGGTACATAGCAGAGGCTATCTGTAGGGACAGATTTTTGTCTTATAGCTGATGGTGTTAAGTCATGGTTCTGGTAAGGAAGAGCACAAGGCATTTTAGGGGAAAATATATGCATTTTTAGGGGAAAATATACCTATTTTGGGCCATGGGAAACAGCCTTTATTCGGCTGTAAAATATAGTTGAGACTGTCATATGTGACTTTACAAGGGATCTTCAGAAAAAGGTCACATATGACGGGGAGTCTCTAAATACAGTCTCAAAGAAAATTAGATTTAAATACCATCTATCTGTCTATATACCATTGTGACTTAACATACATAACTGTGTGAAGGAATAATATCTAACCAATTGCAAATAAACATAGGTATTCTTAAAAATTTTGATGTAAGTAAAATAAGAATCCATGTAAAACAAATATATTCGCATGTATATCATATAAAATTTAATTTTATTTTTTGTATTAAGATTTAAATTGAATCTTTATGGTATAAAATAAACTGGAATTTGATGCTGATTCATTGAAATAAATATCATACTTGTAAATGTTAAACATATCCATATCCAAAGCATTTTCTGGTTTGGTATCAAGGGAGTTGTTTAATTCAGACCATTTATATAGGAAAATACGTTGGGAGTACTGAAACAAGGTCGGATAAGAAAGGGAGTCGTTGAAATCAGGGGATCGCTAAAATACAGGTCAAGTTCGAATTTGGTCATGGCTCAATGATTTTTGGCAGAGTTATGCCCCTTTTACTTTGAAAGTAATATGAAATTTTCAGTTTCCGTTTATTATTAATCTCCCCAACGGTACAACACATTCAACTCAAATTTGACATATAAATATGTCATGAGGAAATAACACTGTACAACACATTCAACTGAAATTTGACATATGGATATGTCAACTTTTCCTTTATGCTATGTCTATAGTAAAAAATTTAAAAATCTTCTTTTAAATAACCCATAGAGCTAGAGCTTAGATATAAAACATGAAACATCTTCTAGTGAATGTCTACCAAATTTGTTAAAATAAAAGCCCCAGGGTTAAATTGGCCCTGCCCGGGTTCTGATTTTCCTTATATGTCTATAGTAAAAACTTAACAAATCTTCTTTTAAAAACCCGAGGGCTAGAGCTTAGATGTTTATCATGAAACATCTTCTAATGGGTACCTACCAAGTCGGTTAAAAAAAAAGCCCCTGGGTAAAAATTAGCCCGCCCCAAGGGCCTATATACAGGTGAGCGATTTCAGGGCCATCATGGCCCTCTTGTTAATTTTGTGTGTTTGTTTTGGTTGTAAATAATGATTAACATTGTGCTTATTTGATGTATATATTAATATTAGATAAAAGTACCTTAACAATAACTTGCTAGTATTAAAGTAAGTGCTGCTTTGTTTGTTTCCATATCTTGGGAAGTGGGTATGGTTTATTACCGAAAAATAACATCAAAACCAGTCACTTTCTTGACACATGTACTATTTCAGGCATTGTATTTGATTGCAACCAATGGTAAGCCAGAGATTAAGGAGAAACATACATTGTCTCCTGTCTTCCAAGATTTCCTGGATAAATGTCTTGAAGTGGATGTTGAAAAAAGAGCAGCTGCCTCAGAGTTACTGAAGGTATGATTGAATTTGTTTTTGCACATTTGACTCAAGAACCATAGCTATATTTTGCATAATTTTTAGCCTGCCTGAGCTCAAAGTGCTCAGAAGACCGCCTCCGTGGTCGAGGGGTTAAAGTTGATGACTTCTAATCCAGTTACGTCTCTGGCGTGGGTTCGATCCCCAGGAGGTGCTTTGGTAGTTTAGCACGGAGGAAGGTAGTCTAGTACTGGTGTAACTCTCCAGGAACGATGTCGTCTATATGACTGAAATACTGTTGGGAAAAGGCGTAAAATGAAACAAACAAACTTAAAGTGCTAAGAGGTGAGCTTTTTGTGATGACAGTATGTCTGTTTTTGTCGTTTTCCACAATTGCAATAGACAACATCTCCCTAAAGTGGCACTCTTGTAACGTTATATAAATGATTACAGTCTTATGTATAAGTAGGTCTCAGAAGCTAAAATTAGACTTTAAAAATGAAGTATTTAAAAACCGTTTTTCAGAAAGTACAATGCCCAGAACTAAGTTATTTGGCATCACCTTGTGGTCTCCTACAAAATTTTTAGAAACAAACAATGCTCATGAGGTTAAGTTGAGCCTCATCTGGGAGTTCAGATATTTAGCATGTAGCATTTCTTAATGGCTGTATACAAAAGTTATAAAAGTTATGTCATTTGCTTTAGAAAAGGTCAGCCATTTGGGTCACTAAAATCTTAACCTAACTTGTGTAGTAAAAATGTTAAAAAAACTTTCTTCTCAGAAACTTCAATGCCCGAGCTTAGATATTTTGAATAAAGCATCACCTTTTTTACCACTGCTAAACTTAATTCCCTTTTGGTTTAAACTGGTGGAGACTATAGATTTACCCTTTGTAAGTCCATCCATCTGTCCGATCAAAGATTCTGGATTCAGTCATAACTAAAATAATACGAAAGCTGTCTTGAAAATGCTTGATATGTTTATAGAGGGCTATATATCAACTTTTTAAAAGAAAGAATACTTCTATTGATACAGCCTTGTTGTTGTACAAGATTATCTCCTAAACCACTGCATGCATTTTACCAAACTTCAAAGGAATGATCCTGACATGGTCTTCTATTAAATTTTTCATTTCCAATATGATTCCTTAGTAGGTCACGGGAGCTAAATAAAAAAGCTTATATATGTAAGAAAAACTTGTTCGGTTAAATATGAAATCTTAAAAAAATATTCCTTCTCAGAAAACTACATGCCCATAGCTTAGGTATTTTGACATGTAGCATCATCATGTGGCCCTTTACAAATGTTATTAAATTATGCCCTGGGGGTCAAAAAGAAACCCCCCCCCCCAAGAGTTACTTAGTTTACATAGGCTTATTTAGGAAAATATAATGAGATTCCAATAAGGCCAACCACATGCGTACATTCAATTATTATACCCCCAAAAACGAAGTTTGGGGGGGTATATAGGAGTCACCCGGTGGTCGGTCGGTCCAGCGGTCCGTTGCATTTTCCTTGCCCGGAGCTTAACTTGAAAACTAATGATTGGAAGTCAATATAACTTCATACAATGGTCAAGCACATTATGAGGAAATGCAGTGCACAAGAACCATAACTCCATCTTGACTAATTACAGAGTTATTGCCCTTTGTTACTTTTCCTTGTCCAGAGCATAACTTAAAAACTACTGGTTGGAATTCAAAACAACTTCATATAATTGTCAAGCACAATAAGGGGAAGTGCAGTGCACAAGAACCATAACTCTATCTAAAGTAATTACAGAGTTATTGCCCTTTGTTACTTTTCCATTGCTTTCTTTTGTCCGGACCATAACTTGAAGACTTATGGTTGGAATTCAATATAATTTCATACAATGGTCAAGCACATTGAGAGAAAGTACAGTGCACAAGAAACCTAACACTATCTTGACTTATTACAGAGTTACTGTCCTTTGTTACTTTTCCTTGTCCAGAGCATAACTTGAAAACTACTGATTGAAATTCAAAACAACTTCATACAATTGTCAAGCACAATAAGGGGAAGTGCAGTGCACAAGAACCATAACTTCATCTTAACTTCATCTTGACTAATTACAGAGTTATTGCCCTTTGTTACTTTTCCATTGCTTTTTTTGTCCCGAGCATAACTTGAAGACAAATGGTTGAAATTCAATATGATTTCATACAATGGTCAAGCACAGTTAGAGGAAGTGCAGTGTACACGAACCATAACTCCATCTTGACTAATTACAGAGTTAACCCCCTTTGTTACTTTTCCTTGTCCAGACCATTACTTGAAAACTACTGGTTGGAATTCAATACAACTTCATACAGTTGTCAAGCACATTAAGAGGAAGTGCAGTGCACAAGAACCATAACACCATTTTGACAAATTACAGAGTTATTGCCCTTTGATACTTTTCCTTGTCCAGAGCATAACTTAAAACGTACTGGTTTGAATTAAAAAAAACTTCATACAGTTGTCAAGCACATTAAGAGGAAGTGCAGTGCACAAGAACCATAACACCATTTTGACAAATTACAGAGTTATTGCCCTTTGATACTTTTCCTTGTCCAGAGCATGACTTAAAACGTACTGGTTGGAATTAAAAAAAAACTTAATACAATGATCAAGCACAATAAGAGAAAGTGCAGTGCACAAAAACTATAACTCTGTCCAGAGTAATTATAGAGTTATTGCCCTTTGTTACTTTTCCATTGCTTTTTTCTTGTCCAGAGCATAACTTGAAAACTACTAGTTTGAATTCAATACTATTTCATACAATGGTCAAGTATATTGAGAGGAAGCACAGTGTACAGAAATCATAACTCTTTCTGGACTCATTTAAAAGTTTTTGCCCTTTGTTACTTTTTATTGTCCAGTGCATAACTTGAAAATTAATGGTTGGAATTCAATGAAACTTTATACAATGGTCAAGGGAAGTGAGATGAAGTGCAGTGCACAAGAGCCATAACTCTAATTGGACTAATTACAGTTATTGCCTTTTGTTCCTTTTTTCCTGTGCATGACTTGGAATTCAATACAACTTCATACAATGGTCAAGTGCAATGAGAGGAAGTGCAGTGTACAATAACCATAACTCCATCTTCAGTATTTATAGAGTTATTGTCCTTTGTTCCTTTTCCTTGTCTTTCTGGACTTATTGCAGAGTAATTCAATAAAACTTCATCAATGGCCAACCACATTGAAAGGAAATACAACATACAAGAACCACAACTATCTTTAATTGCCCACAACCATAACTTTATTTCAATTGTTTTACAAGGTATTCTGTTACTAGTAACATCCTCATTTCCGAAGCAGTCTTGCGGGGGTATTAATCACATTTAGTGATAGTTCTAGTTTATTATTCAAATCGATTTTGAACTAGTATGTTCTTTGTCAGTGAATAAACAGGAAGTAAACACGAAGTTTTTAGGAAAAAGAGTTTTGTTTTTTTTTAGGAAAAAAAGAATAATCTAATCTTTAATAAAATTGCAGTGCCCAGAGCATAGATATATGCCATGTAGCATTGCCAAGTGGACCTCTACAAAAATTATATAAAATCATGTCCTTGGGTTCAAAATTGGTCCTGCCCCAGAGGTCACTTAGTTTATATATCCTTTTTGTGTCGCCTTGAAAAAGGCTACATAAAGGGGTTACTTTCGTTGGCGGCGGCGTTGTTTGCGTCCTCTTAAGCTTGTCCAGAGCATAAGTCAGTCATTATAAGTATGATTGACTTCAAACTTGGTATGCATGCTTCTTATAATGACCCGAAGCGCAGTGCATAAGAACCGGTACTCTGCACTTCTTAATTTTTGAGTTATTGCCCTTTGTTAATTTTCATTCTTTACTTTTGTCCATGCTATTTCTCCTAAAGCATAAAAGCTATGGACTTGAAACTTCATAGGATGATAGGTCTCATTCAGAAGAAGTGCAGGGCATAAGAACCGGTACTCTGCATTTCTTATTTTTTGATTTATTGCCCTTTGTTTATTTTCATACTTTATTTTTGTCGGGGCCATTTCTCATAAATTATGAAAGCTATAGACTTGAAACTTCATAGAATGATAGATCTTTTTAATAAGAAATGCAGTGCACAGAAACTGCTGCTCTGCACTTCTTATTTTTTGAGTTATTGCCCTTTGTTAATTTTCATATTTTATTTTTGTCCTGGCCATTTCTCCGAAACTATATTGTTCACAAGGCGACACATCCGACTCGCGGAGTTCTAGTTTAGCATAATTGTCTTAAAAAAAACTCCTCAGAATCTGCAATACCTTAAGCAGGCTTTTAAGCTTAGCTATTTGGCTTGGTTTTGAAAACTTCTGCTGGAAGCTAGTACAGCAAAATTATGGGTAATAAGTTAGCCTGCTCTTCATCAAAGGTTATTTTGGTTCCCTACCTAATTATACCCCCGAAACAAAGTTTGGGGGGGGTATATAGAAGTCACTCTGTGGAGGGTCGGTCTGTTGCATTTTCCTTGTCCGGAGCATAACTTGAAGACTAATGGTTGGAATTCAATATAACTTCATACAGTGGTCAAGCACATTGAGAGGAAGTGCAGTGCACAAGGACCAGAACTCCATCTTCACTATTTACAGAGTTATTGCCCTTTGTTACTTTTCCTTGTCAGGAGCATAACTTGAAAACTACTGGTTGGAGTTCAAAACAACTTCATACAATGCTCAAGCACAATAAGGGGAAATTCAGTGCACAAGAACCATAACTCTATCTTAAGTAATGACAGAGTTATTGCCCTTTGTTACTTTTCCTTGTAACCACCTCGGTGGTCGAGGGGTTAGAGTCGATGACTTCTAATTCAGTTATCTCTCTGGCATGGATTTGATCCCTGGGAGATGCTTTGGTAGTTAAGCACAGAGGAAGGTAGTCTAGTACTGGTGTAACTGCAGGAACGATGGTTAGGAAACTACCCGTCTATATGACTGAAATACTGTTGGGAAAAGGCGTAAAATGAAACAAACAAACAACTTTTCCTTGTCCGGAGCATAACTTAAAAACTACTGGTTGGAATTCAAAAGAACTTCATACAATGGTCAAGCACAATAAGAGGAAGTGCAGTGCACAAGAACTATAACTCTATCTAAAGTAATTTCAGAGTAATTGCCCTTTGTTACTTTTCCATTGTTTTTTTTAGCTCACCTGTCACAAAGTGACAGGGTGAGCTTTTGTGATCGCTTTTCGTCCGGCGTCCGTCCGTCCGTCCGGCGTCCGTCCGTAAACTTTTGCTTTAAATGACATCTCCTCATAAACCACTGAGCCAATTTCATCCAAACTTCACAGGAATGTTCCTTTGGTGGTCACCTTTAAAAATTGTTCAAAGAATTTAATTCCATGCAGAACTCTGGTTGCCATGGCAACCGAAAGAAAAATCTTTAAATATCTTCTTTTAAACAACCCCAAGAGCTAGAGCTTAGATATTTGGTATGAAACATCTTCTAGTGAGTGTCTACCAAGTTTGTTCAAATAAAAGCCCTGGGGTCAAAATTGGCCCCGCCCCAGGGGGTCATTGATTTTCCCTATATGCATATAGTAAAAACTTAAAAAATCTTCTTTTAAAGAACCCAAAGAGCTAGAGCTAAGATATTTGGCATGAAACATCTTCTAGTGAGTGTCTACCAAGTTTGTTCAAATAAAAGCCCTGGGGTCAAAATTGGCCCCACCCCGGGGGGTCATTGATTTTCCCTATATGCATATAGTAAAAACTTAAAAAATCTTCTTTTAAAGAACCGTAAGAGCTAGAGCTTAGATATTAAGCATGAAACATCTTCTATTGAATGTCTACCAAGTTTGTTCAAATAAAAGCCCTGGGGTCAAAATTGGCCCCGCCCCAGGGGGTCATTGATTTTCCCTATATGCATATTGTAAAAACTTAAAAAATCTTCTTTTAAAGAACCCAAAGAGCTAGAGCTAAGATATTTGGCATGAAACATCTTCTAGTGAGTGTCTACCAAGTTTGTTCAAATTAAAGCCCTGTGGTCAAAATTGGCCCCACCCCGGGGGGGTCATTGATTTTCCCTATATGCATATAGTAAAAACTTAAAAAATCTTCTTTTAAAGAACCATAAGAGCTAGAGCTTAGATATTTGGCATGAAACATCTTCTAGTGAATGTCTACCAAGTTTGTTCAAATAAAAGCCCTGGGGTCAAAATTGACCCCGCCCCAGGGGTCATAGATTTTCCCTATATGCATATAGTAAAAACTTTAAAAAATCTTCTTTTAAAGAACCCAAAGAGCTAGAGCTAAGATATTTAGCATGAAACATCTTCTAATAAGTGTCTACCAAGTTTGTTCAAATAAAAGCCCTTGGGTCAAAATTGGCCCCGCCCCAGGGGGTCATTGATTTTCCCTATATGCATATAGTAAAAACTTAAAAAATCTTCTTTTAAAGAACTCAAAGAGCTAGAGCTAAGATATTTAGCATGAAACATGTTCTAATGGGTGTCTACCAAGTATGTTCAAATAAAAGCCCTGGGGTCAAAACTGGCCCCGCCCGGGTGGGGGGGGGGGCGGTCATTGATTTTCCTTATATATATGTGTATAGCAAAAACTTTAAAAATCTTCTTTGAAAAAAACCAAATAGCTAGAGTTTAGATATTAAGCATGAAACATCTTTAAGTAAATATCTACAAAGTTTGTTCAAATAAAAGCCCGGGGGTCAAAACTGGCCCTGCCCCAGGGGTGTCATTGTTTTAAACTATATGTGTATAGTAAAATCTTTAAAAATCTTCTTTTAAAAAACCCAATGAGCTAGAAATTAGATGTTTAGCATGAAACATCTTCTTATGGGTGTCTACCAAGTCTGTTCAAATAAACAAATAAAAGCCCTTGGGTAAAAATTGGCCCGGGGTGGGGGGGGGCCTATATACAGGTGAGCGACCTCAGGGCCATCATGGCCCTCTTGTTTTTTGTCCCGAGCATAACTTTAAGACTTATGGTTGGAATTCAATATAACTTCATACAATGATCAGATACATTGAGAGGAAGTGCAGTGCACACAGGGTTCGTACAGTCTTAAAAAGTGCTTAAATTTGAGTCCCTTTCTTAAAAAGTGCTTAAAAATGAAAAAAAGTGCTTAAAAGTCCTTGAATTTGATTACTCTCTTAAAAAGTGCTTAAAAAGTGCTTAAATATGCTGAAAATGTGCTTGAAAATTTGAAACACAGAATAACATAGTTTCGATAAAAATTAACAAAGTAAAAAGAAAATGATCCAATTTAGTATCAAAATCAATAAAATGTTTACTCAAGGTAACAGTAAGTGGGCAAATTGCAGTTGTTTTGAACTAATCTGTATTTGATGATCCTTTCTTGTTCTTCTATAAATTCCTTAAAATTGTGGTCAGAAAATGTGTATTCAACAAAAAATGGCAAATAAACTACCCATCTTCGCTTGAAAATTGTGTCGGTATATGTGCAACAAATGTGCTTGAAAAATGGGAAAACATGCTTAAATAGTGCTTAAAAAGTCCTTGAATTTTGGCATTGGAGATCTGTATGAACCCTGGCACAAGAACAATAACTTAATCTTGACTAATTACAGAGTTTTTGCCCTTTGTTACTTTTCCTTGTCCGGAGCATAACTTGAAAAGTACTAGTTCGAATTCCATACAACTTCATACAATCGTCAAGCACATTAAGAGGAAGTGCAGTGCAAAAGAACAATAACACCATTTTGACAAATTACAGAGTTATTGCCCTTCAAGCATAACTTGAAAAGTACTGGTTGGAATTCAAAACAGCTTCAAACAATGGTCAAGCACAATAAGAGAAAGTGCAGTGCACAAGAGCCATAACTCAATTCAGAGTAATTATAGAGTTATTGTCCTTTGTTACTTTTCCATTGCTTTTTTCTTGGCCATAGCATAACTTGAAAACTACTAGTTGGAATTCAATACAATTACATGGATCAAGTATATTGAGAGAAAGCGCAGTGCACAGAAACCATAACTCTTTCTTGACTCATTTAAGAGTTTTTGCCCTTTGTTACTTTTTATTGTCCTGTGCATAATAATTAATGGATGGAATTCAAAGAATCAACATACAATGATCAATGGCAGTGAGATGAAGTGCAGTGCACAAGAACCATAACTCTATTTGGACTAATTACAGTTATTGCCCTTTGTTACTTTTTTGTCCAGTGCATAACTTGAAAACTAGTAGTTGGAATTCAATACAACTTCATACAATGGTCAAGCACAATGAGAGGAAGTGCAGTGTACAATAACCATAACTTTATCTTCAGTATTTGTAGAGTTATTGCCTTTATTTATTTTCCTTGTCAGATGCATAACTTAAAAACTAATGTTTAGAATTCAATGCAACTTTATACAATGGTCAAGGGCAACGAGATGAAGTGCATTGCTCAAGAAGCTTAACTCTTTCTGGACTTATTAAAGAGTAATTCAATAAAACTTCATCAATGGTCAACCACAGTGAAAGGAAATACAACATACAAAATCCACAACTATCTTTAATTGCCCACAACTATATCTCTATTTCAATTCTTTTACAAGGTATTCTGTTACTAGTAACTTCCTCATTTCCTATTAATCACATTTAGTGATAGTTCTAGTATTAAAATTGTCCTGGCCCCGGAGGTCATAGGTTTTCCTTATATGAAGAGGTAAGATATTTGACATATTTGAAACATTTTGAAGTGGACCAATACCAAGATTGTTCAAATTATAGCCCTGGGTTCAAAATTGGCCCACCCCCGTGGTCATTGATTTTTATTTTGTACTTATAGTAAAAACATTAAATATCTTTTTCTCTGAAGATACATCACTTAGAGCTTTGACATTTAGTATATGATATCATCTATAGGTCTTGTATCTTAGTTGTTGAAATGAAATTGGGCCCCCCCCCCCCCCGGGTACATAGGCTTTCCTTATATGAATATAGTAAAAACCTAAATTGACAATGGTTAGAGGTTAGATATTTGGCATGAAACATTGTGTACTTTACCTAAACCAAAATTGTTCAAATTATGGCCCAAGGGTTCAAAATACCCTGAGTAAATGGGTTAACCTTTGTGAAAACTGTAAATGACAAGAATCTGGGCCAGGGGCATTTGTATTTAACAAAGACATTTTTGTTTAGTGATCAATCTTAGTCAGTCATGTAGAGCCATAATTGCCCTCTTATTATTTTGTTATTGTTTTTGCCTTCGCCGTCTTTCTGTCCATCCCTATTAAGCTTGTTTGACTGTCACAGGTCGAACTGCTCATGGGATTTAAACCACACTTTACAGGAGTGTTCAGTACCATCCCTAGTTGTGCACATCACAGGCATCACAGTTCTGCTTTGCTGCACATAATGGTCGCCAGAGCTAAAAATAGAAAAACCTTGTCCCGCCTTCACAAGTCAAACTACTGGTGGGACTTTTAACCAAAAATTACAGGAGTGATCAGTACCATCCCTAGTTGTGCAGAATACAGGCACATTCCGCTTCACTGCACAAAATGGCCATCAGAGCTATAAATAGAAAAATCTTGTCCGGCTTTCACAGGTGAAGCTACTGGTGGGATTTCAATGAAACTTCACATGAATGACAATACATCGTTTTGGGAGACAATTATGTTTTTGTGACAAAAACCCTTCAAGTTTCAAAACCTTAGTTTTGTTTGCAACACCAGTGCTTGTTAAACTTTTTAATAATACTTAAAATGTATGCATTTTGTTTATTTTAGCATCCATTTCTACGTCTAGCTAAGCCTTTAGCCAGTCTAGTTCCTCTTATAATGGCTTCCAAGGAATCACAGAAAGGACACTAACTTTTCCAGGAACTATTAATTTTTAAGGTAAGATTAAGGCAGATGCTGAGGTGGCATATAACGATTCACCTGTGTGTGTGTGTGTGTGTGCTAGCGTGCGTGCGTGCCTGTCTGTCTGTCTGTTATATAGATTATATAATGAACTTAAAAAATCCTCTTGTTAAAAACTACTTTTCTAATTTCAACTTAACTTGGCAGCATTGTTCTTCGCGTGAAAGGCTTTGAAAGGTTGTTCAAAGAATTTGATTTTATGCAAATATCTGGTTGCCATGGCAACCAAAAGGAATTATAAGAAATTTTTTTTTAAAAAAACTTCTTGTAAAGACCCACAATGCCTAGAGCTTAGATATTTTGCATAAGGCCTTGTCTAGTAGACCTCTACAAAAATTGTTCAAATTATAGCCCTGGGTCAAAATTGGCCCTGCTCTGGGGATCATTGGTTTTCCTTATATGTTTTTAGTTAATACTTAAAAAACCTTCTCTGAATTAACTAAAGTTAGATGTGAGAATTTTAATATCAGCTGACCTTGATTTTGACAAATGACCTACTTTCTTGTCCTTTGATATACAGCTATGAAATTTTGACCATGAGCTGCTTTAAATTGAACTTTACTATCAGTTGACCTTGAATTTGACAAAGTGACCTAGTGTCTTGTCCTTTGATGTACAGCCATGAAATTAGGGTCATGTGCACAGTTTTAGATGTAAAAATGAGGTTGCTTTATACCTTATGTGGAAACCTTGGTTGGTATTGCATTTGGACCCCCTTGGATCAAGGTCAATGTTGACATTACGAAAAATAGAAAAATGGTTTCCAGACACTATTTAGAGTTAGGAATGAGATATTGTAATCAAACTTGGTATGGCCAAAAAGACAATCTGTGTTTTGGGGAACAGGCTGAAAATTTTTTACTCCGCTCTGTAATTTCTACACTAATTGAAGGATTTTCTTTAAACTTGGCTCAAATGTTCACCTCAACAAGTGGATGTGCAGAACCCATGTTGTCCATGTGTCAGCTCAAGGTCAAGGTCACAATTGAGGGTCAAATATCAAACAATCAAATATTACACAATATGTTGTGTCTGCTCTGTAAGTCCTACACTAATTTAAAGATTTTCTTCAATCTTGGCTCAAATGTTCACCTCAACAAGGTAATGTGCAGAACCCATGTCACCCTTTTGCCGACTTAAGGTCAAGGTCAAACTTGAAGGTCAAAAACTGACTTAGTAAATATTCTTCAATTTTAACATGTAATTTGAATATTTCTAAACTTAAAATATATATGAAGTGTCACAATTAAGATATGCTGGTCAAGTTTCTTAACTCTGTATTGCATTTTAACAAAGTTATGCCTCTTTTTAAGTCTTCAAATTTACATACAATCAAATATTAGACGATATGTTGTGATCACTCTATAAATCCTTTACTAATAGAAGAATTTTCTTCTAACTTGGCTCAAATGTTCACCTCAACAAAGTTATGTGCAGAATCAATGTCACCTTTGTGCCGGCTAAAGGTCAAGGTCACACTTGAAGGTAAAAAATTGACTTAGAAAATGTTCTTAAATTTTCACATGTACTTGAATATTTCTGAAACTAGAAAAGGTATTTGCTTGAAACTTAAAAGTTATATGAGGTGTCACAAATAAGATATGCAGGTCAAGTTTCATAACTCTGTATTGCATTTTGACACAGTTATGCCCCTTTTTAAGTCTTTAAATTTACATACAATCAATACTAGACAATATGTCGTGTCTGCTCTATAAATTCTATACTAATGGAAGGATTTTCTTCAAACTTTACTCAATTGTTCACCCCAACTGGGCAATGTGCAGAACCCATCTTACCTTTGTGCCAGCTTAAGGTCAAGGCCACACTTGAAGGTCAAAAATTGACTTATAAAATGTTTTGTACATTGGGAAAATGAAAGGTTATTTGTAACTGTTTCAAACATGATTTGATAATAAATATTTATACTATTACCTGTACAATTAGTCTTTTCTCCACCAGAGATCATTTCTTTTTATGTATTTGTGCCACTAAAGTTATTCCCTTAACCACCTTTCCAAGTTGTCTTCTGTCAAGGACATTGGTGGGGTTATGAATCGCATTCAGCGATAGTTCTAGTTTATTATCCCCTGCCGATGGAATCGGGAGGGGGATATAGTTTTGGCGTTGTCCTTCCGTCCGTCCGTCCGAATTTCGTTTCCAGAGTAGTTCTCTGCAACTAATGGCTGGAATTCAACGAAACTTTATGGGAATGTTGATCAGCATGTGAAGTTGTGCACCTGGGTATTTTCGTCTGGATATTTTTAGTATTTTTAGAGTTATTGCCCTTGACTCAGTAAAATTTTGTCCAAATTTTGTTTCCGGAGTAGTTCTCTGCAACTAATGGCTGGAATTCAACGAAACTTTATGGGAATGTTGATCAGCATGTGAAGTTGTGCACCTGGGTATTTTCGTCTGGATATTTTTAGTATTTTAAGAGTTATTGCCCTTGACTTAGTAAAATTTTGTAATTTTCAACTTGTGTCGCATGTAACTCAAAAAGTATTTGACCTAGAGTCATGAAACTTTACAGGAATGTTGATCAGTATGTGTAGTTGTGCACCTGGGTATTTTCGTCTGGATATTTTTAGTATTTTTAGAGTTATTGCCCTTGACTTAGTAAAATTTTGTAATTTTCAACTTGTGTCGCATGTAACTCAAAAAGTATTTGACCTAGAGTCATGATACTTTACAGGAATGTTGATCAGCATGTGTAGTTGTGCACCTGGGTATTTTCGTCTGGATATTTTTAGTATTTTTAGAGTTATTGCCCTTGACTTAGTAAAATTTTGTAATTTTCAACTTGTGTCGCATGTAACTCAAAAAGTATTTGACCTAGAGTCATGATACTTTACAGGAATGTTGATCAGCATGTGTAGTTGTGCACCTGGGTATTTTCGTCTGGATTTATTTAGTATTTTTAGAGTTATTGCCCTTGACTTAGAAAATGTTTGTAATTTTCAACATGTGTCGCATGTAACTCAAAAAGGATTTGACATAGGGTCATTTAACCTTATTGGAAAGTTGCTCAGCATATTTAGTTTGTTCCTGGGGTTTCGCTTGTGGATTTATCCAGTATTTGTAGAGTTATTTCCCTTGACTTAGTAAAAACTGTTTCATTATGTTGTTATTTGATCCTTGAGTGCTTTAGTTAGAATCGACCAACTTTACAGGAATAATGATCAACATCACTAAATTACAGGAATAATGATTCACCTCACTGTGATGCTCTGAACCTGGGACTTTGCATGTGGATTTTTTTCAGTTTTGTTAGAGTTATTGCCCTTGAATTACAGTAGTATAAATTTGCAATTTTCAACTTGGGGTTTGCTTGGGGATTTATTCAGTATTTGTAAAGTTCTTGCCCTTTACTTAGTAAAAAGATTTTTAGTTTTCAAAAAATATTTGACCTAGAGTCATAAGATTGACAGAACAGTGGCGCGGTGGGGGCACCCGTGTCCTATGGACATATTTCTAGTTTTTATTAAAGAAGAATTAAAATGATTTGTTACAATAACATTTAAAAATATTTGAAAATTGTGAGATCCCTTCTTGATGCCTTGAAAATGGCAATGAAGTCTGGAGATTAAGATGTTTTTACATCTATGTGAGCTATTGTGATCCCCCACCGTCCGTCGTCGTGCGTCGTCAGCAATTTCTTTAAACAACATCTCCTCAGAAACAAATGATTGCACAGCAACCAAACTTTACAGGAATGATCCTAGGGTGGTCCCCTGCCAAAGTTGATCAAATGGTTCCGGTCTGTTGCATAAGTAGGTCACAGGGCCAGAAAAGGAGTTTCAAAAATGCAAAATTAAAAAATCTTGTCTGAAAGTACAATGCCTAGAGCTTTGATATTTGGTATATGATATAACCTATAGGTCCTCTACCAAAATTGTTCAAATTTTAGCCCTGGGGTCAAAATTGGCCCCACTCCAGGGGGTCATAGATTTTCCTTATATGTATATAGTGAAAACTTAAAAATTCTTCTTGTTTGAAGGTACAAGGCTTCAAGTTCAAAGAATATTACAGTTTATGCCATGATTAATATATAAATAAAGCCTTATGTCTTCAGTTGTTGTGTTAATAATAACCAGTACTCAGCGGGGGATATAAATTCAACGAATTTGCTTGTTCTGTTAAAATTGGCCACCATGCCTGTGTTGTGCAGAGTGGGGCAATTATTACTGTCTTTGTTTTGTCCGCTTCGATTTTTTGTAATATGCGCGACATCAGGCTGAAAGGAGGAAACATGTAATATAAACAAACATTTATTCCAAGAAAATGTAAAAGCCTCAACAACAAATGCGTTTTGATCTGGATACCTAGTTACATATTTTGGCAATTTTGCATTAAGTCTTGAAGCAAATAAATCAATTTCTAATCGTGGAAATTTCATTCTTAGTTTTTGAAAAATTATTTCACTTAATGACCATTATAAGTCGTCGTTTCCATTTCTGCTTAATCCGTCTGCCTGTTTATTCGACACTCCAGGCATGTGACATGCGGATAAAAGTATTTTCTTTTCTATACACCAAAACCAAATTTGTCGCGCAATACAATCTAAATTTTTTATTTTACCACCCAAATGATTTATATATGTACAACTAGTTGTATTATCAGTGTGAAGACGGACAAGCGCATTTGTGATATCTTTAGCTCACCTGAGCAATGCTCAGGGTGAGCTATTGTGATGGCCCTGTGTCCGTCGTCGTGCGTCGTCAACTTTTGAACATTAACAACACCTCCTCTGAAACCAATTACTGCACATCAACCAAACTTTACAGAAATGATCCTTGGGTGGTCCCCTTTCAAAGTTGTTCAAATGGTTCCGGTCTGTTGCATATGTAGGTCATAGGGCCAGAAAAGGATTTCAAAAAACACAAAATTAAAAAATCTTCTTGTCTGAAAGTACATGGGCCAGAGCTTTGATTTTTGGTATATGGTATCATCTATGGGTCCTCTACCAAAGTTGTTCAAAT